ACAACAGAATGAAACACTGCCTGGACCTATGCCAGCCTCACAATGCTTGTTATACCTGAGCCCATTGTTGTAGCCACTGTATCAATCCATCTCATTGAGAGATTCCCCTTTTTCTCTGACCTTCCTTTACCAAGCATGATATACTTCTCCAGGGAATGGTCATTTCTGACAATGTGACCAAAGTAGGTGAGAAGAAGTCTGGCCTTTCTCCCTTCCAAGGAGTATTCTAGCTGCACTTCTTGAAGGACAGATTTATTCACTCTTATGGCAGTCGATGGAACTTTCAGTATTCTTCGCCAACATCACCACTCAAAAATATCAACTCTTCTTCCATCTTCTTATTCATTTTCCAGCTTTCACATGCATATGATGCTATTGACAACACCTTGGCTGGGGTTAGGTGTAACTTTGTCTTCAAAGACCTAATCTTCAAAGAGACATCTATGCTCTTCAGCACTTTAAATAGGTCTATTGCAGCAGTGTTGCTCAATGCAAAACATCATCTAATTTCTTGACTATTGTTTCCATTGGTGTTGATTGTGGAACCAAGTAATTTAAAATCTTTGACAACTTCAATCTTTTCTCCATTTATTGTGACACAGCTTATTGGTCCAGTTGTGAGGGTTTTCATTTTTTTTTTTTTTTAATGTCTTTGTTTACTTCAGACTGTGGTCATTAATCTTCATCAGTAAGTGCTTCAAGTCATCTTCACTTTCAGCAAGCAAGGTTGTGTGTTCTTCATATCTCAGGTTGTTAATGAGTCTTCCTCCAATCCTGATGCTGCATTTTTCTTCATATAGCCCACCTTCTTGGAGTATTGGTTCAGCTTACAGATTGAATAAATATGGTGAAAGGATACAACCCTGACACACTTCTTTCCTGATTTAAAACCATGAAGTATCTCTTTGTCCTATTTGAAGGACAGCATTCTGCTCATGAGCACAATTAAGGGTTCTGGAATCCCTATTCTTCTCAATGTTATCCATAATTTGTTATGATCCACACAGCCATATTATTTTTCACATTCAATAAAACATAGGTTAACATCTTTCTGTTACTCTTTGCTTTCAGCCAAGATCCATCTGACACCAGCAATGATATCTCTCATTCCACATCCTCTTCTGAACCCAGCTTGCATTTCTGGTAGTTCCCTGTTAATATACTGCTGCAACCATTTTTGAATTATCTTCAGCAAGATATTACTTCCACATGAGATTAATTATATTCTTCAGTAATTTCCACATTTCTTTGCTTTGGAATGTGTACAAATATAGATCTCTTCCTGTCAGTTGGAAGGGAGCTGTCTTCCAAAATTCTTGGCATAGATGAGTGAGTGCCTCCAGTGCTACATCTGTTTGTTGAAACACCTCAATGGGTATTCTGTTAATTCCCGGAGCCTTGTCTTTGGCAATTCCTTCAATGCAGCTTTGACTTCTTCCTTCAGTATTATCAGTTCTTGATTTTATGCCACCTCCTGAAAAAGATGAACATAAACCAATTATTTTTGGTACAGTGACTGTGTATTTCTTCCATCTTCTTTTGATGTTTCTTAAATCATTCAATATTTTGCCCATAGAATCTTTCAATACTGCAACTTGAGGCTGTTATGGGACCAAACACAGGTCCCTGCCTGGTGCACAGTCAGGCCAAATCAGTTTACATACTGAGACTGAGAGGAGAGGAAATTATTTATTGTAAAACAGCAATGCAAGGAGTAGGGGTAGTTTAGCACCCGGATCTAACTCCCTGAGATGCCATGGAAACACAGCCTTTGCAGGTTTCAGGAGAGGGGGTTGTGGATATTTACAAAAGGTTGAGGAATTTGGGGCAAGAAATGGATGAGTCACACTAGCTTCCTGTTATCAGCTGATAGGGGCTTGGGCAGAGGGGAGAGGGTCCTCAATTAACTTTTGTTCTTTTTTGCCCATTGAGCGTGTTCACGCCCAGAGTTAATTTACAAGTTGTTTCTAAGATACCTCCTTTCTGCCTTATTGTCTTGCCCAAGTGTCCATGTCCTTGGGCCAGAGTTAATTTACATGTTGTTTCTAAGATACTTTTAGCAGTCTATGGTCTGCAGGAAGGAATGTTTTCCATTCAGTTATTTAAGGAACTGAATACTCATCTGTCCGGTGGAAAAATAGTTGGGGGTAATTTAGTTTATTTATCTATTCCCATCTAGGTGCCAGGGTGGGGAAAATAGTTTTTACTTTACTCGTTTCAAGGCTTGATTTTTTTCATCAGTTCTTGATGAAAATGCAATAATAATAATAATAATAATAATAATAATAATAATAACCTTCATCAGCTTGAGAAATGCTAAAAGTGTTCTTCCCTTTTGGTTTTCTAACTCCAGGTCTTTGATATTTCATTATGATAATTAACATTTTCTTCTTGAGCTGCTCTTTGAAATCTACTGTTCAGCGCTTTTATCTTGCCTTTTTTTTTTTTTTTTTTCATTTGCTTTAGCTACTCTCTTCTTTCAAGAGCAAGTTTCAGGGTCTCTTCTGACATCCATGTTGGTCTTTTCTTCTTTGCCTGTCTATTTAATGACTTTTGCTTTTTTCATCAATGATGTTCTTATTGTCATCCCATAATTCATCTGATTTTCCATCACTGGTGGTCAAATATGTCAAATCTATTCTTTAGATGGTCTCTAAATTCAGGTGGGATATAGTCAAAGTCATAACCTGGTTCTCATGGACTTATTTCAACTGTCATCAGCTTTAACAATAATTGTACTAGATAAAACAAATACTTTCATTCTGAAAATTAAACAAAATTATGCTAAGATTCTTAGAATAGAGCAAATACAAAAAAATGCTCAGTGATACTGTTATAAAATAGAAGTTCTGATTTCAAGCAGTGTTATACAATGCACAAAACTATGTAACTTTTTATCAATGTTTTATCTTTACAAGTACCTATGTTCTTTTGAATGCTTAAGTAATAAAGTTCAAAAGGCAGAGAGATTATAGGTGAAATGAAGAGAAATAACATGAAGTTTTAGGTTAAAAACAAATCAGGAATCTTAATGGCACAATGACTAAACTCTTGGTGCCAAATCAAAGGTCAGCAGTTTGAACCCATTAGCCGCTTGAGGGAGAAGGATGTGGCAGTCTGCTTCCATGAAATATAGCCTTGGAAAACATATAGTGTGAGGCCTGAGTCCTAAGGAATGTGAGGCCTGAGTCCTAATGCCCTCCAGGTAATTCTTTAACCAGGAGTCTTTAGTGCTGGGGATTCCAGCACGTCCCCCATGCCTCAGAGCTTTACCTGGCTCCAGCACATCCCCCACGCCTCAGGGCTTTATCTCCTCTCCAGGTAGTTATTCTCTAACCAGGAGTCTTTAATGCCAGGGATTCCAGCATGTCCCCCACGCCTCAGGGATTTACCTCAAACCCCCTTCCCTCCTTTTCTACCCCCTAGCAACAACCAATCATTTGTACCCCTTTGCCTTGGTGTTACTCCACCCTATATTTTTCCTATAAAAATGTAATAGTAGGAGAGCATGGGGTCTTTTTCCCAAACCGCTGCATCGGCGTAAGCAGAGACCCTAGCTTGAGCTAGCTAATAAACTTTCCTTCTGCTTTTGCATTATTGTGTCAGTGGTAGCTTCCTTGCGCCTACATTCCTTTCAAGACCTGAGTCCAACAATAGGATATTTCTATTCTACCTTATAGAATAAAAATAAAGTCCTCATACATGGTACAACATGAATGAATCTGGAAAGCATGTCCTTGAGTCAAGTGATTCAATCACAAAAAGACAACTACTATATGATGTCACTCATATTCAATAATTAGAATAGACAATATGCTGCAAGCAAAATTTATTACTAATGATAGAAGGGGGAGGGTGGGGGAAAAGTAGGGTCATTATTTATAAAGCAGTGAATTTATGTTTATAATGAAGCTAATTTTGCAATGGATATTAGTGAGGAAGGAACAATGTAGTTAATAAAATTGATGTCATTAAATTGTATACATAAAAATGATCAATTGGTAAATATTATATCATATGCCTTTTACAGCCATGAAAAGGAAAGACAAATAATAGCCTGCTATATATAGCAATATCTACAAACATTCAAAGAGAATGTGAAGAATGTTTGGGGAGGAAGCAAAATACCCGAGGTTTCTTGACCCTCTCTGTCCAATTCTTGTTTCCTGGTCTCACTAAATGAAGGAACTATTTTAATAAAATTTCCTTGTAAGAACTTCCACAGTCTGTGGAGTAGGAAAGTCTGCTGTGAATACACTTCCCAAGAGTCTTTCCTCATATTCCCTAAAGAGCACTGGCTATAAATTTTACATCACTCATTTTCAGAATCCCTCAGGCCCCAATATTTACTCCAGTGCTTCTTTAAGCTGCATAAATCTCGCATCTCCTCGAAATTCAGTATCACTGTGACAAAAGCTAGAATAGGATCCATTCCCAAGACTGTCAAAAATATCTGTGCTGTGAGTGACAGCTTTTCTTTAGTAAGTCCCTAAAATTTAGATGTCAGGATGGTTAGCATGCTGAGAAATGATTCCTACAAATGACTATGTTGTACCTAGAGATTAATTTCAAAATTCACACAAGTAATATGTGATTCATTTACCAGGTTTAAGATGTGAATAACCAAGTGTTCTTATTTATTTTGCTTTGCAGTTTCAAGCTTCATTATTATACTTTTATAAGCCCAAAACAGCTGTGCTCTGATATTTTTTATGTGAAGCATTGAACTAAAAAGCAATGGTGTGTTATGGACCATGATTCTTGTGATGGGCAAGAGCCCTAATAACAAGGAGGTTTCACATGCAAGCATAAAGTAATCTAGTCTCTGGTCCAGAGCAAATTGTGTACTGGTTTTCTATCCAATGAGATATGATGATAATTTAATATTTGTTGGAATAGCAATCACTACAGACTTTTCACCAACGCGGTGGAAGATATACATGCTTCTCAATCAACTGTTACTGCAGTTTTCTTTGAGGTAGTTTTATCTTTATTAACCAATGTCAATTTGGTCTGATTCCAAAATCAATAGCTCCGTCTTCCTCCTCACGGGTTTCCCTGGTTTGGAACTGGAATATCCATGGATCTCCATCCCCTTCTCCTGTATCTATGCTATGGTACTTTTGGGAAACTGCCTTGTTCTCCATGTCATCCGGACTGAGCCAAGCCTGCATGAGCCCATGTTCTACTTCCTGGCCATGCTGGCCCTCACTGACCTGTGCATGGGGCTTTCCACAGTGCACACGGTGCTGGGGATCCTGTGGGGGTTCAGCCAGGAGATTGAGTTGGACGCCTGCATTGCCCAAACCTTCTTTGTTCACGGGCTCTCCTGCATGGAATCTGGAGTCCTTCTCGCCATGGCCTTTGATCGTTTTACCGCAATTTGTAATCCTCTGAGATATACATCCATTCTTACCAATACCAGAGTCATCAAAATCGGCATGACCATTTTAGCAAGGAGTTTCCTGTTAATTACTGCTCCCATTGTCCGGTTGAAGTTCTTCCATTATTGTCATCCCCATATTCTCTCTCACTCTTTCTGCCTGCACCAAGACTTGCTCCGGCTGGCCTGCTCTGACATTCGATTCAACAGCTTCTATGCCTTAGCCTTGGTGATTTGCACTCTCTTTTTAGATTCTGTGTTTATCCTCATTTCTTATATCTTGATCCTGAACTCAGTCTTGGCTATTGCATCCCAGGAGGAGCAGCTAAAATCCTTGCAGACCTGCATCTCCCATATCTGTGTAGTCCTGGTTTTCTACATCCCAATCATCGGACTGACCATGGTACACCGCTTTGGGAAGCACCTCTCTCCTATTGTCCATGTCCTCATGGGTAACATCTATATCCTTTTCCCACCCTAGATGAACCCCATCATCTATAGTGTCAAGACTCAGCAAATCCGTAGCAGGATCCAGAGATGGTTCACTCTGAAAAAGAACTGAGTGCTAGAGGTTAACATATTTTAAGGAAAGAATGTTAGTAATTATAACAAGAACAACTAATGCATAAATAGTTCAATCAATAGTAATAATTGATTTTTATGTAATACTTCACAGGTTAAAGGCAATTCTATCTTCATTTTCTAACTTCACCCTGAAAAGACAAGAAATAGGCAAAGTGTTAACTGACCTTATTTCTTTATTTTAAAACTATGGATACTATCATCTAAAATGAATTACGTTCAATAGTGTATCAATTAGCACCTGTTTAGGAAATTAAATCTGTAATTCAGCCCTTGTTTTCTGAATTCTAGTTTAGGGTGTTTTTATTTTTTGCTTGCCAAAGTTCCATGTGTGCATTTATCGTTCATGATATAGGCAGCTTATACATATTCTTATCAGGTGTCACAAATTAACATTGAGGTCACTCTTATCTCATTTACATATAATTGAGAAGAAGTGTTCCCAAAGTTCAGTCTGCCCCATTCAATAAAATATCTTAATTTGGTAGATTAGACTTTATAGCTCAATCTAAAAGATTTTGTGAACTATAACTGACCACCTCTATATCGAACCTCTCCTCTCAATATATAGAAATTTGTACACTTCAGTGAATGCATTATAGTTTAAAAAGCTCATGAAGTCTGTCAATTGCTTTCATTTTGGTGTCAGCATGCATAGAATTTTTAAATCACCTTGTTAAACCTCTTTTATTGTAAGGGAGAAGATGTTGAGGCACAAAGATAGCAAGTAAAATATTACTAATTGAGTTGAAGATGGAATTTTGGTTTTGAGAATCTTTTGAATATATTCTAGGTCTCATCGTTGCTGGATGAAAAGTAAGTTAGTTAAATGGGGAATTCAACTGTTGATCAAATCCAAGCATATCTTTCTTTATTTCTTGCTTTTTAACAAATATTGACACACACCACCAGCCCCCACCATTTCAAAGGAATAAAATTTAAAACCATGGTATTAGCTTCAAGATTTTATTTTGCTGTTTGTTTCCTTTTTGCATATTGTCACTTAACCATAGCTATACACAACCTTTGAGTGGGGCTGCAGAGCTACCACAGAGCATTTTACTGTAGCTAAACTACATAGGAGGGAGAAGCAAAGTAACCAAAGATTTACTTACAAGTAAGTCCCACAAACAATAGTCTAAAGATGTGAAAATGATTTTACTAAGAAATCAGTTTTGAAAATGAATATTTGACTTGTTTTTAAATTACATTTTAGTAAATATATCCTGAAAACTAACATGTTTTTCTTTTTGATCAAAAGATCCAAAGTGAATTTATGTTTGTGACTCTTGCCTTTCACGACCATTACCACTCATCCTCCATACAAACCTCCACAGTTTAATCTGTATGAGCAGCTCAGCACTTGTCTAAGTACTACTTTGCTTTGACTTGTCTCTTTCTATTCACTTCGCTGGAAGGGAACTTCTATATTCTGGAATGTGTGTCTTGTACCTCTCTCTATCTCCCTATAGCAAAGTTCCTAAATATTCTATTTGAAACTTGGTGTTCATTAATCTGGCTCAGTTACAGTAGAGAAGTACACCAATTATTGCTTCTGCTTATTTGGCCTATTCAATTTCCTATGGGAATTTGAGAAACAGGGGTGAGAGTGAACCTTTATATTCAATGATGATATTGAATACTGATTATAATGACATTATCCCTACCACATACATTGATATCTACAGTAAACAAAATGTTTTTATGTACCATATGATTTATATTTTGAAGTCACAATATCAGTAGCATCCATTTCTCAATTTTATACAAAAATAAAGTGGGTTCCAGAAACTTTATTTTTTTTATATAATTTGAGTTTTTTTCTCTATAAGTATTTCTAGGAAAATAGAAGGTATTTTTTCTATATTCAAGCCTTCACAAAGTCTCATATTATATCGCCTAAATTTCTTACTACAAAAAGTAGCAGCCTGGAAGACACATGTGAAAACCAAACTCACTGCCATCAAGTTGATTCTAACTCAGAGACTCTCATTGGGTTTCCAAGATTCTAAATCCTTACAGAAGCAGATTGCCTCATGTTTCTTCAGTGGAGCTCCTGGTGGGTTTAAACCACCAACGTCTGGTTAGTAACAAAATGCCTTCATTACTACACCACCAGAGCTCCTTAGAAGACACATTAGCTTCGAATAAGCTCAAGTTAAACATTGTGAAAGGTACAACGTTTTAATAAAATTGATTTATGAAATAACTGGCTGGGAACTGAACTCTCTCCCTAGGCTCAACTCTTTCGGCCAAATAATAGACCTATAACGTGAAAAATATCACCAAGGAGGCAAACACTACTTAGAACAATCAATCATACTAAATCAAAAGGGTAGCATTTGCCTATGGATAAAGCTCAGAAGTCAGTGAAGATAGGAAATAAGGAAGAGTGGAAATGGAAGACATAGGGAGGAAGAAGGAAGAGTGCTCTTACATTGTGGGGATTTCCAACTATGTCACAAAACAAAATGTACATGAATTGTTGAGTTGAAAACCAATTTGCTCTGTCAACTTTCACCCAAATCACAGTAAAAAGTTAAAAAAAAAACAAAAAAAACGGCTGTATGAAATATGAGAATCAAAATACTGGTTCCATATCAGTATTATATTTCAACTAATTTATAACTAATTTACAATTATAAATTAGCTATATCTTAATGCATATACACATATGCATATATGTGTGTGTGTGTGCATGTGCATGGGGGATGGTGCAAATGATTAAGCACTAGATACTAGACACAAGTTTGGCAGTTTAAATTCACACACAGGCATCTCAGAAGAAAGGGTTGATGATTTGCTTTCACAAACTCAAATCCTTGAAAACCCTGTGGAGAAGCTCTATTTGTGCTCTTGGGGGTCATTGTGAGTCAGAAAGTAGAAATCAACTCAATGGCAAATAACAACTATATATATCTCTGTCTACCTGTAGTATGTATTCATTTGCTTTATCCAAGTTCTTTATGGAGAAAACACATAAAAATAACAAATTCGACAATGTTATTATTGTCGTTATGTGCTATGGTACAAATATGGAAATAAATACAGTTATAGATAGCACTGTACTCATCAACTACAGAATTCATATTCCTTTTCATTGAAGGTTGAGTTTTACAATATTTGGCCACAGACTGTGTCATAAGAATATCTTTAATTCTATTTTGTAAATGAATTTGAGCTGATATTAGTAAATAACATGAAAAGTAGAAGCACAATATTTGTACTCAAAGATAACATGAATGATGATTTTTGTGATGAAAACTATGATGAAGATGATAAGGACAGTGATAGTATCTCATCTGTGTTGAGTCTTTTTAGACTATGAAGCCCTGTGGGAAAAGTTTTATATACATTTAGCAATGATACTACATTATAAAAAATCCATTTCTACTTCTCTGTAAGGAGCTCTGGTAGCATAGTGCCTAAGGCACTTGACCACTAACCAGAAGGCTGGCTGTTCAAACCCACCAGCCACGCCTCGGAAGGAAGATTGTACAATCTACTTCCGTAGTGATACTGCCTTGGCAACCCAAGGAGGCATCACTATGAATCAGGTTCAACTTGATAGCACATAACAACAACAACAACTTCTCTGTAAGGAATTTTAGAGTTGAGAAAGCAGAATTTGTGACAATAGTTTTTCAAAGACACAACACATAAAAATGCTGAAATAAAATTTTGAAAATAGCTGTGTTTGACTGCAGGGCTCATACTTCCTTTCTCAATGCATGGGATCAAATAAAATATCAAAAATTTTCCATAAAAAATTTGAATCTACTTCCTATGAAATATTTTTTGACAATAATAGGACTGTTTGCCCTCAGTTTTGAGGGTCTTGCAAAATGATTTTTCTTTATCAAGTATTAACACATTAGTACACAATTGCCTTAAATGAAAATAATAT